AAAGAGTGTGATCAATAGCACTATATTTGCCACAGTTGAAGCTGAGATCAGTTACAAGATTTGTGTTTCTTAGATGTGTGTTTATGTCTTTAGGAGCTATGTTAGCTTGGCGTTGTGGAATAACCAGCATCAGGCAGATGGCCAGCTGGCTTGCTCTATTCTAGGCACATGAGCATAGTCTCAACCAAGATCCTCTGTATAGAAATTTAAACAAACACATCAGGGATTAAATTTACCTGATGCAAAAATACAGAAAAGGGGTCAGACATTTTCCTGGAAGAAGTGTTATAGTATCTAGCTTTCTGTTATTATCTCTTGGTGTGTTACTATTTTTATTTATTCCACACTGTGTGAGGCTAAAGGCGTGTTCTGATTTGATTTCCTCATGTGTTTTTAGTGTGGTGTTTGTGAGATGACTCACTTTGTAAATGCTATAGCCTCATTGTCTCTGACCTGAAAGGTGTCATTTGCTTTCAGCATTTGACACAAGATGTGGTAGTTTAAAATTTCACAATCTGCGGTTGCTCTCAGGACAAGCTGGCAGCCATATCAACAGTTTAAACTCGTAGACCGTGTTTTTCATAGTTGTTGACTTGAGCAGTGTTGGATACAGTTTTCTCAATGTAGAATTGAGTTCAACTTGATATTGACTAAAATACAATGGTCAAAATGTGTTGCTACAAACAGATTTATTGCAGATCCTAGAGGTGACTTTATTACAAATAAAGAGAGCAGCTTAATGTGCAACTCAAATGTTTTCGTTTTTTTTTTTTTTTTTTTTTTTTTTCTTTCTTCACTAACAAATCCACTTTTCAGATTTCAACCCATGGTGGCAGACTGCCCTAGCTGGAGATTGGTGACTATACCAGCTCTAATTCCTTTCTCACCTTCTGGTCCAGAGACACCTTTGAGACCAGGCTGAAACGTAGTTCAGTGTGTCTGATTTGAAAACCCTAATGTTGTGCCAAACATTGGAATTGCAGAGTGCAGGTGGTCCCTGTCAAGTGATAGTCAATATGTGGGAGACCCATCAACATCCTCGCACGATGAGCCCCACAGGTATAGAACAACAAAAGATTATGGACGCTGCTGGTTAGGCTTCATAAAGTATGCCTTACTCAAATAACCCATTCCCTGCCCTAAGCACTGTATGTAGGGTCAGTTTTTACTCACCCCCGCTGATAGTACGTTTTTCAGGGATAGTTAATTCTGACCTTGGGTTTGTTGTTTTGGGCAAAATGTATGTTAAAAAAAAAAAAAATTTAACATACTGCCACCTCATTGCAATGTTTCGGCCTCAAACGCTTTCTGTAGTTTACTAATAGCCCATGGGGGTTCCTGTTTATTTTTTGGCAGTGTTTGCTTTGGCTTAGATCAGGGTCAACATTTGTTGGAATAACATCTAGCCATACAGGAAGCACTGCAATGCAGTAGATGTTGTGATATGATATAGAAGACCTCAGTTCAAAGCTCAACACTGACAAAGCTTATTCAGAATGAGCTTAATAGGAAGGACAGGTGCTTGCTGTTCTTTTTTTTTTTTTACCCTTTGTCTGTCACCCATTTGTGTTTTTTCTTCTGACAAATCCTGCTAAAACTCTTTAGGAATGTGTTGCAAATCTGAAGTTTATTTTGAATCCAGATCTGTTTTCTTTGAGTTCTGACTAGTTTTACAATTATCCTCCTAAATTAACCCTAATGACATGCTCATTCTCAGAGTTGTACTTCAGGTTCTTTAGGAAACAAATGTTTTTGAATCAAATCGAAATCAGAGCAGACCAATAAAGATTTAAATTCAGCATCTTATTTTGAGAGGTCAAAATGCATGTTACTCTTTGTACAGCTGAAATGCTCTGCTTGATCTGTCCTCAGTGTTTGTATGATTAAGATTCTATTCTATTTCTAATGTGATGTTTCTTTATTGCAGTGTCACACCAGAATATTGATGATGGAGAGTTTGGAATTCACAGTAAGTTGTATTTTTTTTAAAAACGTTTCTACATTAATTACATTGTGTAAAACTCCATGATACAGAAATCCTATAAAACTATATTAGTTACTGATGTGCATAATATTTCAGGGTCATTTAAATCCTGTAAACTCTTCCTCTGTTTATACAGCAGTGCCTGTTGCGTATTGTTTGCACCAATTCTGTGCTCTGCTCTGTAGATGCATAGTGACGAAATGCTTCCTTGCTGTGTCCTCCCTTTTTTGTAGATGGGGTGATGTGTGTTGATTCTGGGTGGCTGACGTGCCAAACAGACATTCGTCTGTGTCTGCACTATTCTAAGAATGCTCCCGTGTCCATTACTAAGAAAAAATTCAAGAAGTCTCGCTTCAGGTAGGAACAACACCAGGATCGAATTTAAAGCAGCCAGAGAAAGGTCTATTTGAAAGTGACATCACACTATTATGGTGATGCTATTTCCTGCCTACCTGTAGCAGAACTTCTGCATACCTAATAATAATAATAATAAAAAATAAGAGAAACCAAGACTACATGATTTTATTTAACTTTTTTAATTTTTAAAACTGGTTTTTAATATGACTGTCTGTCTATTTACCTCTGTAGGATAAAGCTCACACTGGAGGGTTTTGAGGAAGAGGAAGAGGAAGAAGATTCACTCAGCCCTCCATCTTGGCACAAGATGACCAACACTCTTGAAATGAGTATGATCACTGCCAATGGCTATAAGTCACGTCACTCACAGCCTGAATGCGGGTACTCCCTAGAGCCCTCCAAGTGGACCGAGTACAGTATCAACACCATGGCTCCAGACAACTTAGAACTCACCTTTGAGTTCTTTGAGGTAATACTCACAGGAAAACCCAGTATACACATTTTATAGTAAGACATAAATTTGTGTTCTTCACTTTATAAACACAAGTGGGAGAGGAAGAATAAGTCAAGCACCATAATTAAATGTACCTTTTTCATTTGATCGGAATTGTGCTAATCTCACATAAAGGAGGATATGAGCGAGCATGTAGTCCAGGGGGACGTTCTTCCAGGACATGTGGGCACGGCTTTCCTCCTGTCTTCCTCTTTTTCGGAGAGCGGAAAGGACAATGGAGTGGTCACACTTCCCATAATGGGTCGAAATTCCAGACAGACCATCGGGAAAGTCAGAGGTAAGATTTTGTGCCTCTTCCTTACAGCTGATAATGATCAGACTGAGTGAAGTGAGAGAGAGAGTGCGTAGCCTGTTCTGGAAGTATTTCTTACCCTCTCTTGAGTCACAGTGAAAGCAACGCTGCACCCACTGTACATGGAAAAACCTATTCACTTAGTCTGTTACTCTGTTCCAGTGGATTACCTGGTGATTCGGCCCATCCAGGGGCTGCAGTGTGACATGAGCTCCTCATTCACCAAGTACTGGAAGAAAAGAAGTGCTCTGAATGTGGGTCACAGAGGAGCCGGCAGCACACACACAGCCAAGTGAGTCATGGAGAGGATGATGATGATGATTGATGAAGAAATAGGTCAATAGCACTAGACTGTGTGTGTGTGTGTGTCGATAGGGTTGAATAATTTAGTATATGTTTCCTGTCAGCAAAATCACTTTTTAATTTGTTTTACAGGCACCACAGAATCAGGGAGAACACAATAGGCTCATTCAAAAGTGCTGCCAAGCATGTAAGTTATCCATATGATTAATGCATGAGTACAAATTAACCTTTAACATTACTTCGGTCTTAATTTTGTGTCAATTGTGTATATGTAGGGTGCAGCCTATGTGGAGTTTGATGTTCACCTCTCCAAAGATGCTGTTCCTATAGTATACCATGACCTGACATGCTGTATAGCCACCAAGAAGGTAAATTAAAAACCTCTTGTACTTGATGATGGACATGTGAAAGAAGTGTTAAAATTCTCCTGTAATTTATCTGAAATGTGACACTTCTCTGATATTTTTATTGACTTAATCAACATAGTTGTAGAAGTGGTAGGCATGAACAAGAGTATGTCACTACTTAAGACAGTGAATTTAGTTCTTTGTATCCCCTCAACAGAAGAATGAGACTTCACTGGAGTTTATTGAAGTGCCAGTCAAAGACTTGACATTTGATCAGCTGCAGCTTCTGAAGGTGAAAACCTTGAATGATGGATGAAACTATGCAAATAAAACACAAGTTGAAATAAACCTTTTTTTTTATTTAGATGAAAATTGGCAGTTACTAATAAATTTGTTTTCTAGAAGTTATTTCTAGTTGCACAGTCATACCACGTAGCGTTTTTGTTTAGCACCTTCTTTTCAGTTTAAGGAGGAAGTGGAGCATGATAGTTTTAAGTGCTTTCACATAACTTATCTCTGCATAGAAGTCTAAAAAGTGCTGAAATATATATTTTGTAGCATTACTATGAACTCCCCATGCTCACTTACCACACCACTTTGCTTAAAACTACCTTGGGAAAGGCAGTAGTTTATTTCATGACTTTAAAACTAGCCCTTTAGCCCACCAAGTGGTTGACCATGCAAGATGTGTCATTATGTATTAATTTGTTGAATACTGAGGACTTAATATATGCTTTGTTTTGTCGCACAGCTGGCCCATGTTGCTGCAATGAACGGAATTGATCACAAAGGTATACAGATACTAATAGTGTTGTGTTTCTGTTTTTGTATGCCCTCATCTTACGTCACAGCAGAGTGTCAATGAATGTATAATTAGCTCAACAGATAATTTGTGTGACGCGTTTCATGTGATGTTCAGATCTGCTGGATGAAGAAGATGAGATCGATGAGCATCAGCCGTTCCCCTCACTCTCACAGGTAAATTACTTTATGGTGATCATCACTATTAGGTATCTTATTAAGTCAGTATGAGCTGGTCTTCTTATGGTTACAAATATTTACATAATCAGTACAAACTGTTAGAAACACTGTCTGCCAAATTACTGTGGACTTTAGTAACCACAGTAATGACTTATCACCTAGTCCCCGCTTCTCATCCTGTTGGCCCACTTTTGTCATAACAAAGTAAAATCTCAATAATCTTTTCCATACCTTGACAGATTTTCCAGACTATTCCTGAACATGTGGGTTTCAACATTGAGCTGAAATGGATCTCCCAGATGAAGGTCATTAACAGTGTATTGCAGCATTTATTTTGATTTAATGATTTTTTTATAAAATAATCTTTCCTTTAAATAATACACTGATGTGATTACTGCTTTGTATTGACAGGATGGGTCATGGGATGGCAACCTGTCTTCCTACTTCAACATGAACACCTTCCTCGATGTCATCCTGTCCTGTGTTCTGCAGAAAGGCGGCAAAAGACGCATTGTCTTCTCCTGCTTCAACCCAGATATCTGCACCATGTAAGCACAGTTGGCCACTGAAGACTGTAGAACTTGCATAATAAGGTTTCAGAAAAACAACTGCATTCAGAATATTCTGTTAAAACACATAAGTTGAAAAAACAAACACAACACAGACATTTCCATTTCAGTAAGTTTAGATGTTACAGATGAAATTATCACTGATGACAAAATGTGAAAATTTTTGAAACATTCCTGGTCTTTAAAAATTTGTTTTGACAACAAGTAAATGTAAATGAATGCTGTCTTCAGAATGTAGACACAGTACAGAGAGGCTCTCTCCCACAGCACCTGATGTCTCTTCATGTTTCTCTTAGGGTGCGTCGCAAGCAGAACAAGTACCCTGTCCTCTTCTTGACTCAGGGAATTTCCGTCAAGTATCCAGAACTGATGGACATCCGCTGCCAGACCACTCAGATCGCCATAAGTTACGCCCAGAGTGAGAACATCCTGGTGAGGATAATATCCACTGAATTTTCTATGTTTTTTTTTTTTATGCAAACATTTATTGAAAAGGTGGTTTTATGCTAACTATACATGGTATTCGATACGTAATAGACAACCTAGGAAAACATGTAGTACTTTGAGTCGTGATTTGCGTGAAACTTACTCTTCAAATCAGTTCTGTGTTTGCTTTAGTGCTACAAATGCACACATTTTGATACATTACATAATAGTGATTAATTGTAATCAACTTCCTTTTTCTTAAAATGGCAAGAATTATAGACAAGAGTTACAGATGTAGAGTGTCATAGGGATGAAGTTTTTTCGGTAGGGCAGCCTGGAAGTTAGCATTGACACAAAGCCAAGATGATTTTTCCACAAGCTTTTGGATTGTTGCACAAAATAATGTGACAAACATTTGGACACTTACATGTTTTGTTCAGCGAGGTCATGGTCCTGAATCAACACCACTTTTATGATTTCTGAAGCCTAGAAACAGAACTAAAAAGCTATTGTTAGGCTACAAACAAACTACACCACGGTCCCATGACTTGAGCGTCACCACCACGACTTCCAACTTGTAATTTGATTTAGCGCACTTACCTCTTCTACAAAAACCTTTCCTCTCAGCGTGACCTGATCTAGCTAGTGATTGTGGCTGTGTCAGTCAGTTAGAATAGTTTGCAGGCGCATCAGGTTAAACATAACGAGGCTGTAAAGTCAGACTAGTGAGTAGATGAGTCTCTGTGTTATGATGGTTAATATCCCCATCAGCCTTTGTAGTCTCATTTAGCCACTTGCAGGCGAGCACCTTAAGATGTGTAAAAGCATTAAAAATCATGGTTGGAGTATTTACTGATGGATTTCACAGATCAAAATGTGAAAATATATTGGCTTTGTGACCTTATTTCAGGTGTCTATTCAAAAACTCCTTGAGTTCAGGGTGAGGGAAAGGGAGGTGCAGAAACTAACAGTTCTGGGTTTTAGGACTCACTACGGAACTCTGTAGCCCACTATCCTCACATCAGTCGAAACAACAGTCTACATAAAACAACATATCAGTTTACATTTAAGTTGGCTTATTTGTATGTATTATGAGGAAATCCACAATTTTTAGCTGTCTTTAACCAAAATTACAGTGAAGTTTGAGAATACCTTTTTTTTCCCTCACTGTATCTATCTTGGCTGCTCTGTAGGGAATCAGTGCCCACACTGAGGAGCTGCTAGAGAACCTTGCCTACATTAGGGATGCCCAGTCTAAAGGCCTGGTGGTGTTCAGCTGGGGAGAAGATAACAACGATCATGAGACGAGACAGAAGCTGAGGGAGGAGAGTATTGATGGGCTCATCTATGATAGGTAGGTTCAGATGTGACATGTATATCTGTGGCTGCTGTGTAGCTTCTTTATGACCTCAAGTGCTCAAATGTAGATGCACACAAACCCAAACATGACCAGTTCTCTACTGTATATCAGTGGTAATGGATTCAGGTGGCAAAGTGTGATGCAAACTACTCCTGTCATAGGTGAGATTTAGAATTTTCTCTTAGTTATTCATTTAGTGCACATTCCTGTCATTTCTGTTATGATAAACCTTTGCATAATTGTGTTTCCACCTACAATCTGCCTTTTACCCAACATGCTGTACTGTGAACTATACAATGGACCCTGTGCTGTTGTCCCTTTTCACCCTTAAGCCACAACTGAGTTATTAAGTAGGACTTTGAGTTTTACCAGTTTGATCACTGCATTCACATTACTGCTTTTTGTCACGTATGAAATGTTATCATCACTGTTTGCCAGCATCAAGGTTATATAATCAAGGAGCGGCAAGCTTAATCACCTGGTACCTGCCACAGCTGGTGACAAGAATGGTTTGATTATTCTTTAGATATTTTGTGTATGTGTGAATGAAATTGGTAGATGGATCAGTGCTGTTACATAAAGCTTGAATTGCTGGCAGGGTGAGAGAGTCCGCTTTGGTTTTAGCAAAGGTCAGCAGGGACTGTTTGTTCAGCCGTTTCTATTCTCCTTTCCACTAGTCCACAAAGCACTTTGGCCCAGACCATTACAGACCCGTGCAGTAAACGGGAAGTAGGCGTTGGACCCTAAATCACATCCCAGTAATCCCAGATGATTCTAGATTAAATTTTAATTTGACATCTCCTTCTTGTTGTTGTGCCTCTTTCTTACAGAATTTGTGAATGCTCGGTGCCATGTTTTGACTCAAGTTCTCCAGATTCCCGTAATGTCTTTCATAGTGCCTGTCTGTGTTGTAAATTTACTCACTCCACAACCCTTGGCTTTTTTTCTCCCTCCCTCAAGTACTGCCTGAAAGTGCTTATGTTATTTATTAAAATGCAACAGGAACAAAATGATGTTCCTTGAAAATGATGCAAGACGGTTGACTTCCCATAGAGTACTGTGAAAAATCTTTAGGCACTAATGGAAAAGTGAGGAGGCTTTCAAAAATAATGCCACAAATAGATTTTAGTAACTTCATACAAAGTACGGTAAACGGCGCGACCTTTATAACAGCACTGCTTCTCCTAGCAGGTAGTTTGTTTGGCTGTGGCGCGGAAAAAAACCAGGGTGATTCCTGATTGTAGGGTTGGTGGTTCGATTCCTGTTTTCCCCAGTCCACATGTTGAAGCGGACTGGGAAGACA